TATCTAGAATGATATAACTTCAAATCTGAGAGATCAAATAAATGAGTTGTAAACCAACACTTTTGTCACATTGAAGTGTCTCATATCTGATAGAATATCTGCATCCGTATCATTGTTATGTAAGTTAGGCTATTCATCAAATATTTCAGAAGTTATTGAGACACACAGGTGACTGTTGTGTTTTTAACATAATTTTAAATAGTTTTTATATCTGATAAAAATGCTATCAAAGTGTAAAGGGGTATTGTTACCATGTGTGCTAAAAAAAGAAAAAAACTCCCAATAACTGAGTTGGAACAGAAGTTAGATGCAAGAAAACAATATTTAAGAGGTCAAAGTACCACCATGTGAGACTATGTGAAGAGAACACTTTATAAAACACCAGCTGAGAAAGTTGGAAAGAAGAAAGCAGGGCTACACTTTGGTGGTTGTAGATTTATGCATACCAAAATGTCTCTTCTCATATGTCTACATTTATTCCCAAGAAAAAGTTAATCTTGAACCATGTGAGGTCTTCAGACATGCATTCCTGCTTTAAAATGTGACTATATTTGCATTATTTATGGTAAAATGATAAGAGCTCAAACAACCTGTGTTCTGGCAGCCTCCTTGCATCCTGGCCTTTGCAAACATTGTTCCCTTCTTATGGAAGCTGTTCTCAGGGCCTTGAAAACGGCTGCCTCTCTTTCACAGCTGCACCATCATCACTGGCTCCAAGAAACCTTCTCCAGCACCACCAAACACAAACAGAAGACTTCTTGTAAACCCAATTCTTACTGCATGCCTTGTACTGTCCTGTAACTGTTTATATATTTGTCTCTCCCAGTGGACTCTGAGCCACTGGAGAGTTCCTATGTGTTTTGCCACCTTCTAGCCCCATGCCTGAAGCACAGTGTATATTCAATCATCAATTAATGAATGAGTTCATTTATTGAATATATTATTAATGTTTGAATAATATATACAATGTGGAATATCCTCCACTCATTGACTTTTAAAAAAATTTAATATAACTGTCTATTTTCTCATTGACTGAATACTCACTGTAATAACACTGGTAATTTAATCCAGTTCCTGCCCATACTGCTTGGTGAATATCAGGTGAATTACCATAATGAACATGTGTTCACAATATTAACATTTATTGCCATTATTTCATCCATTGATAAGTAACCACAACAGTCCCTCCAAGGTTAACAAACGTCTGCCTTCTCAGTTAATGCAGTCATTAACAAATGAATTCTGACATTGAGAGAAAGTGAACAAAGAAAATGCCTTCACAGAGCTCACAATCATTATTCTTTTACTCTTAAAGTTGGATTGATTTTTTATGCTTATTTATTTTCATCTATCTGAAAGACAGAGAGAGAGAGAGAAATAGAGAGAGAGAGGGAGAGAGAGAGAGAGAGAGAAGGGTATTCCATCAGCTGGTTCACTTCCCAAATGCCTACAACAGCCAGGGCTGGGTCAGGCTGAAGCCAGGAGCCTGGAGCTCCATCTGAGTCTCCACACATGGGTAGCAGGGGCCCAACACTTGAGCCATCATCTACTACCTCCCAGGATGCATTAGCAGGAAGCTGGATCAGAATTGGAGTAGCTGGGACTCTAACCAACACTTTGATATGGGATGTGGCTGTCCCAGTCAACAGCTTAACTCACTGTGCCACAACACCTGCCCTGGTTTTGTTGTGATGACTGGGTCCAGGTTCTCTTCTTCACACGAAGAAATTCAAGGAGGAAACATAGATAAAGGGCAGTAGAAAAGCAAGATTTATTTACATATAAAGCAAAAGTACACATAGAAATTGGTGTGGGTAACCTCAAGAGAGTTGCACTCAACAAGGTTTAGGGTTGTCCCTTTATCAGATCTGGAGGCACAGTGGGTGGTGTCTGAGTGGCGCTTAATTGAATATTTGAAGGGATGGAGTTTGAGGTGGGGCTTGAGTGCCACTCATTTCTTTACCCTTGGGAAATTTCAGAAGTGTCATGGCATCAGGTACATGATAGAGGAGGAGTGCCACCCATGGTAATTTTATGATAATGACATGATGAACTAAAGGTCTTTGCAGGGACACAGCTTGCAGTTATATTAGATAATTTTAGCTGGAACCAGTTCTAAGTGGCAAAACCAAATAAACTGCAGTTTTCCACTACACTGGGGGGGGGGGGGGATGGAGGTTTGTTGGCTATGCATGGAAGGACAGTTTGTGCTGTGCACAGAAAAGGGGTTTGGGTAGTATAGACAGGACTGTTGCACAGACATGGCTGTAGCATTGTGCAGGACAGTACTAGCAAACCTCCTTGTTAGTGCCATCTCCTCACCTATAATAGCTTGACTTTTACTAAAAACAAAACAACAAAAACAGACTTAGCAAGTTTTTCATTTTTTGCTCTATTATTTTCCCCCAGTCTCCCTATCCCTCCCTTTAAAAAATTATGTGACAATTCTAAATTTTAAACATTCAGCTTTAAATTTATTTTTAAAATAAAATTTTATTTAAATAAAAAAGTAATAATTATTTACATTTGGATATGTATAAGGAATTGAACCTAGATAAAACTATTAAATAGTCACCATCTAATGAGTGTTTTGGGTTAGCTTACTTTAGATTAACTTTTTTGCACTGAATTTTCATTTCCTGTTTCTTTGATCGTAAGTGCTTAATTTCAAATTATGCTAGAAAATGCTCTCCACCTATAAGCACAGATTTATAAATACCCCTCCATACCACTAGCAACTATAACCCAAGAACCTTCTTTGGAGCCCCAACAATAAATGCCTTGGGGACCCCAGGCATTGCTGAACTCCTGATCACTTCTGTGGCATGGACTTTGTGGGCCTGTGTACTCCTCAAAATGATGCTTACATTCATAAAATTAAACAGTCAGCCTTATAAAAGAAATCCATTCTATTAGAGTTATCAAAAATTTTTAAAATCAATTTTATATAGCATATATACTTCTATAGTAATATATTAGACTATTGCTAGAATAACTTCTGTAATTTCAAAGAGTAATTAACATGGGCCTGACCCTGTAGCATAGAAGGTTAAGCTTCTGCCTGTAGTGCCAACATCCTATATGGGAGCTGGTTCAAGTCCCCACTGCTCTACTTCCAATCCAGCTCCCTGCTAATGCTCTTGGGAAAGCAGCAGAAGATGGTCCAGGTTCTTTGGCCCCTGCACCCATATGGGAGACCCAGAAGAAACTCTTGGCTCCTGACTTCCATCTGGGCCACCTCTGGCCATTGGGGCCATTTGGGGAGTAGACCAGCAGATGGAAGATATCTGTCTCTGTCTCTTTTTCTAACTTCCTTTCAAATAAATAAATTAATTTAAAAAAAAAAAAGAGTAATGAACTTAAACGATACTTCAAAATCTAACACTTTTTTAAAAGATACATTCATTAATTTTTTTTTTTTTTTGACAGGCAGAGTGGATAGTGAGAGAGAGAGACAGAGAGAAAGGTCTTCCTTTTTGCTGTTGGTTCACCCTCCAATGGCCGCCACGGCTGGCGCACTGCGGCCGGCGCACCGTGCAGAACCGAAGGCAGGAGCCAGGTGCTTCTCCTGGTCTCCCATGGGGTACAGGGCCCAAGGACTTGGGCCATCCTCCACTGCAATCCCGGGCCACAGCAGAAAGCTGGCCTGGAAGAGGGGCAACTGGGACAGAATCCGGTGCCCCGACCGGAACTAGAACCCGGTGTGCTGGCGCCACTAGGTGGAGGATTAGCCTATTGAGCCATGGAGCCGGCCTATTCATTCATTTTTAAAATTTATTTATTATTTATTTGAAAGGCAGAGTAACAAAGAGAAGGAGAGAGAGAGAGAGATTTTGCCATCTGCTGGTCCACTCCTCAAATGGCTGCATTAGCCAGGGCTGGGCCAGGCTGAAGCCAGGAGCCAGGAACTCCATCCTGGTCTCCCATATAAGTGGCAGGGGCCTGAGGACTTGGTCCATCACTCACTGCCTTCTCAGGCATGTTACCAAGAAGCTGGACCAGAAGCAAAGCATCTGGGACTTGCACTGGCACTCCAATGTGTGATGCGGCTGTCACGAGTGGCCGCTTAACCCGCAGCTCCACAATGCCAGCACCTCGGTAACACTTTTAATACAGTAGAAAAGATGTGTTTCTGTTAATGACAGAGTAAGTGGTGATGCTAATAATAGTGTGGCTTGTTTCCTTGAAGGAACGCTAAATTTCAGTTAGAAATTGGTGAAAATAAAAGTGTTTGGTTCTTTTTCCTATCCAGGTTCACAAATTTGGCAGATTAAGAACCCCTACTCCATGACAAAATTCTGGAAGGATACATACCATAATGAGATGGAGTGGGGAAGAAGGAAAGAACCAAAAGAATTTTTAATTTTTCCAAATCCTGTGTCATTTGATTTTTTTCATGGAGTTATATTTATATGTTTCTTGTGTTTAAAAAAAAAAAAAAAAAAACACAGCATAATCCAGACTCCAGACCAAATACTGCTGCTGCTCAGGGACAAAGAGGGTCATCAAAGGCCAGAGATCTTCAGCTTTCCCCTGACCCTACCCCCAGTGGAAACAGCAGTTTTATCATTGCCTTACCCTTAGCACTTTGACTTGGGGTTCAGAGCCATCAGCCTGTCACCCACAGGAACTCATTGGTTGTAGGCAGTACCTAGTTAAAAGACAGAATTAGATGTGCTTCTGATATCCTCAAGTGTGGTTAAATTTACATGGATAATACATTTATATCTCCCCAAGGACTGCTACGACAATAATTCAGTAAATCAGTGGGCCACTTATGCACCCTTTATAATACTGTTTAGTCAGAAAATTCTTTCTAAATCCCAAATATCTGATGGATTCTGAGAGAATAAATATTTATTAAATATTCAGAGTGTTCATCAGCATACAGGATAGTAAACTGACTCTGAGTTTGGAGGTGGCACAAGTTAGTAGTAATAGGTTCCTTTTATGTAAGAACAATCATTGTGTCTTAACAGATGACTCTTTGCTTTCCTCAGGAATAGAGATGGCTGCTGAACCAGAAGAGGCTTGCATCAACTTTGTGGGAATGAAATTTATTGACAACACACTTTACTTTATAAGTAAGTCCAAGGCAATAGGACGACCACCGTGTTCAGATATTTGTATCAGCAACTGAAAAGATAGTCCACCGTGAACTATTGTAATATTGTAATATTATAATATTATAACATTGTAATATTAATGACTCTCTTCTCTGAAAAAAGAAATTGCATTTCTGGAAATTAACTATAATGGGTCCAAGGTCCAGCACCTTGTTCCAGCACATATCTTGGCACTTTAATTAGGAGCCCAATCTCAAGGTGGCAGCAGGTAAACATCGTGAAAAATCCCACAGAACTTGGTAAATTCAGGAAATACAATTTCTCAAAGCAAATTGGCAAATTTTCTAGGAGATACCATAAACCTAGAGTTCTGTGAGTGAACTAAACCATTTTATGTAAATATATTTGACAAATAAAACTGATTCTTATGATTAATGTTCTGTGGGCAATTTGGTTCCATTTGAACGCTTCATAAAAAGTCCTTAGGTAATTTTCAACTTAAGTAATAAATTTTAGGAGTAAAATGTATCACTTTATAAAATTCTTTTTAGCTATGTATTGAAATTCATAAATCCTGGATTTAAGTTTAATGTCCAATTTAACTGAGAATGCAGCAAGTGTAATGAACTTCATTTTATGGGCCTTTTGGATGATCATACAATATTTCTAATGGAGGCCAACAAAGACCATCACCAGTAAAGTAGGGAGTAGAAGAATGGGGAATGGCAGAAAAGAGTGGTGAACCATTAGGGTGAGAGGGAACTCGGAGTTGAAATACAGAATTTAACATATTTTGTTTCTCTTCTTTTCTCCCTTAGCTGAAAACGATGGTAAAGTATAAAAGTATTTCTCTTTCTTTACAAAGTAAGTAGCTGCTTAAGACACATCCATATCACCACGCTCAGCTGGGAGAAGCTGTTCACGTGGTACCGGTCCCTCGGGGAGGCCCATCTTCTCTCAAGGGAGTGTGGACTCAATAGCACACTTGGAATGAAGATGACTATGAGGGCTAAAAGAAGATCCTCTACAGCATGTATTTCCCCACACCTTAGGAAACTCTCCAGCTCTTGAAATCGACAAAATACACCCTGCCTGTGAAGAATTGAAGCATGAAAATTTTCAAAATCAATTGTATCTTCCTCTTCAACCTCCTCCCTTAGAAACACTTTAGGAAGAAGTCTGGGAGGGTCCTAGGGGACAGAGAGTTCTGAAAGTAAAGGAGTTAGGGATGAGTGGGCACTTAGACTACATTCAAAAGCCAAGATATGAGAGAAAGCTAGGCGTGTATGAAGAATTAAAAGTAATGCAGAATGTGAGAGAAGCTAGAGTGATAAGTAGGAGATCCAGAAGTTCTCTTATCTCAAGATACTAAATTCCTATCTCTTCTTGGGAGTAACTGGGGTTCACTAAGCAGAATATGTATCAGCGAAGATAAGATTAGTTTGCTGTAACAAAGAGATTCAAAAATACAGTGGCTGAATAGAATAGAAAATTTTTCACTCAAATAAATTCCAACTGAGCAGTTCAGGTTTCATATGGCTAGTTGCAGCCTGGTGGTGCTGGGACCTCAGGGTTCTTTTGCCTTGTTACTCTGTCACACCCTAGTTGTTGAACTCCACAAACCTGAAAAGCATCTTACTTTCTGGGTCTATATCCCAATTACCAAGAAAGTGGGTCAAGATAAGAGGAAGGGCCGGCACTGTAGCATACTGGGTAAAGCCTCCACCTGCAGTGCCAGCATCCTATATGGGAGCCGATTTGAATCCCGGCTACTCCACTTCTGATCCAGCTCTCTGCTGTGGCCTGGGAAAGCAGTGGAAGATGGTCCAAGTCCTTGGGCCCCTGCACCCAGAAAAAGCTCCTGGCTCCTGGGCTTTGGAACAGCCCAGCTCCAACCATTCTGCCTCTCTGTAACTCTGCCTTTCAAGTAAATAAATCTTAAAAAAAAAAAAAGAGAGAGAGAGAAGAGGAAGAAAGGTCATTAGATTTAGCAACTGAAGTTTGGTGATCCCAGTACGAACAATCTGATGGAGAAATGAAGGCAGAGTGAGATTGCAATGAGTAGGAAAATGGATGCAAAGTAAGGAAATGAGGCAGACAGTCCTTGCAAGAAGCTTGGTTATCATAAGGAGGAGAGAGACAAGGGTGTTGCTGCAGAGTGGAATAGGCTTGATGGAGGATTTTTAAATCTCAAATAAGGAAATTCATGTTTCTCTAATTATAAAAATAATGTTTATTATAATTAATTCAGACAATGAGGAAGTATACCATGAAGAAAAGTTAAAACATACAAATCTCCCAGAAATAATAGCTATCATTTTTATGGAACACACACACACACACACAAATGCTTCTATTTTTGTTGAAAGGATTCTACTACACCCAAGTTACTTTTTCAAGTTAGTGATATATATGGACATCTTTCCCTGGAATGAATAATTGAAGTTAAAATAAATTCATAGCCGGCGCCGCGGCTCACTAGGCTAATCCTCTGCCTAGCGGCGCCGGCACACCGGGTTCTAGTCCCGGTCGGGGCGCCGGATTCTGTCCCGGTTGCCCCTCTTCCAGGCCAGCCCTCTGCTGTGGCCAGGGAGTGCAGTGGAGGATGGCCCAGGTGCTTGGGCCCTGCACCCCATGGGAGACCAGGAAAAGCACCTGGCTCCTGGCTCCTGCCATCGGATCAGCGCGGTGCGCCGGCCGCAGCGCGCTGGCCGCGGCGGCCATTGGAGGGTGAACCAACGGCAAAGGAAGACCTTTCTCTCTGTCTCTCTCTCTCACTGTCCACTCTGCCTGTCAAAAAAAATAAAATAAAAAAATAAAATAAATAAATTCATAATATTCCACTATACAGACATATCTAAATGTATTCAATCCCCAGTTGATGGATACTTAAATTGTTTCCAGTCTATTGTTATTATTAATTATTAATAGTATTATCATAAGAATTATTGTACCAAAATGTTTGCACTTATGTCTGATTATTTAATATAAACCCAGGATATGGAATCCCTGGGTTGATAGAAGAGAAAGGGAGGTTGTAAATCAAGCTATCAGCAGTGAACACATGCAGAGTATAAATCAGCCTTAGCTACTTTAAGGGGACACTTTTCCACATTTTCCCTTGAGAAGAGAAGGGCAGCGGGAATAACTATTCTTGCCACAGTTAAGTGGAGGAGGAGGAAATCATATGTGGGAAGTGAAAGTAATGGCTCAGACGAACTGAAGAAGGTGAAGAAGATGCAGTGATGGTCTACGGACAAAAGTGCTCCACTGGAAAACAAAAAGACGTATTGACAATCCATGTGCTTGTAATGGTTCCCATTAGATCCATGGATAATTGTTCACCAGAAGCATGCAGTAGACTAGACTGGAGTTTTGTGGCAGAAAGATGAATGAGTTATGGATTTAAGATACTGACAAAAAGGAATATAAAATGATGAATCCTGGGCACAGCTGTGTAGAGATGGAAGGGAAGACAGGAAGAAGTTAGCTAGGGAGGAAATACCAGAATCAGGAGACTGATGGGTTTGGGGACATCTAAGAATGTGTACAGTTGTAGTAAAAGCATAATAAAATCTAAAAGGATAGCAGACAGGTCAGAAAGAAGGAATTTGAAGTTAACATTTCAGAGGTAGAGCAGTTATGAGTAGTAACAAGGAACTGTACCTTGGAAGTAGGCAACACAGCAGTAAGCAATGGGATCATGGCTGCTTCTTGAATAGAAGATTGTCCTTATTTGTTACTGAAACCTGAAATACATGGTAGGTCTACTTGTAGATGTGAAGACAAGACTTATTTTTAATGAGATTTAATGTTTATTGTAGAGAACCTGGAATCAGATTACTTTGGCAAGCTTGAACCGAAAATCTCCATCATACGAAACCTGAATGACCAAGTTCTCTTCATGGACCAAGGACAGCAACCTGTGTTTGAGGATATGCCCGATTCTGACTGTATAGGTATTTTTTTAACCTTCACACAAAGATAGAAATGACTAATTGTTCCCATTCCATTTTTACTGCCTATATTTCTCTGTTATACCAAATCCTTAGATGAAGTCACAGGAGTAATAGCAATCTCACATACAAGCAACTTCATGGGGCATCTGTATTTTTTGTTTGAGGTGAAAACTGGATATAATAAGAACACTGCTGGGAGTCATGGCACTCTGAGTCTACATGTGGCTCACCAATCCTTTTATTATAATTGCAATAACTATATAAGATCTCTATTAAGTTGGATCCTTATTCATTGCTAACTAATTCATTATAACTAAAAATGCTAATAACAATTTCCAAACTCAAAAGTAAATATACAAAAATTTCAAATGAGTCTCTCCTACACCAGAAACTTAGAGTGCCTTAAAAAATAAGTGTACTGGGTCTTCCAAGTTATGAATTTTAAATATCAGAGTTTTAGACTGAATTAAAATAGTAAATGTACAGTCATGAAAAACAAGGGGATTGTACCTTAACAAATAATTTTAAATTCTAAAAGTTAAAGAGGATGTTTTAGAATTCAGAGTATTCTTTTTTAAAATATTTATTTTATTTATTTGCAAGACAGAGTTACAGAGAGAGGTAGAGACAGAGACAGAGGTCTTCCATCCTCTGGTTCACTCCCCAGTTGGCTGCAATGGCCGGAGCTGCGCCAATCTAAAGGCAGGAGCCAGAAGCTTCTTCCGGGCCTCCCATGCGGTTGCAGGTCTTCTACTGCTTTCCCAGGCCATAGCAGAGAGCCAGATTGGAAGAGAAGCAGCTGGGACTAGAACCAGCGCCCATATGGGATGCCAGCGCTTCAGGCCACGGCTTTAACCCACTGCGCCACAGCGCAGGCCCCAGAATACTCTTTTTTTTTTTTTTTTTTTTTTTGCCCAGAGTACTCTTAAGACACTAAAAGAGTCACCACAAGTGTGTTGTTACACACACTTAAATGCATTTTAAAGAATGTCTGGACAGGGGCCAACACTGTGGTACAGCAGGTTAAAGCCCTGGCGTGAAGCACCGGCATCCCATTTGGGCGTCGGTTCTAGTCCCAGCCGCTCCTCTTCCTATGCAGCTCTCTGCGATAGCCTGGGAAAGCAGTAGAAGATGGCCCAAGTCCTTGGGCCCCTGCACCCATGTGGGAGAGCCGGAATTTGGCTCCTGGCTTCCGATAGGCACAGCTCCAACCGTCACGGCCATCTGGGGAGTGAACCAGCGGATGAAAGACCTAATTCTGACTTTAAAAAAAAAAAAAAAAAAAAGAATGTCTGGCTGGCCAGCATTGCCTGATCTTCTGCTGATTGATCAAATCTCAGAGTTCAAGGTTGGCAATAAGTATATTAAGGAATGACCCTTTGGTTAAATTTCCTCAAATATTGATCTGCAGAAATTCTTCTAACTGGTGTTCTCATTAATGTTTATTTCAGAAAATGCACCCCAGACCATTTTTATAATATATATGTATAAAGACAGCAATACTAGAGGCATGGCTGTAAGCCTCTCTGTGAAGTGTAAGAAAATTTTTACACTCTCCTGTGAGAACAAAATTATTTCCTTTAAGGTAAGATTGAACCTTATTTTTTTAAAATACATTAATGAAGAAAATAAAAAAAAGCTCAAATATCCTTAGTCCAGTTTTTATCTAGAGCACGAACAGCAGAGAACTATTCAAATGGGTAGTTATTAAAAACGGTCAAACTCTAATCTATTGTGAAATACGACTTTTTCTAAGCTGTCACAGGGAAGATAGTGCACACTTGCTTTGTAATCTTGGTCCTCTGAATATAAAGTCTGTATATAAATACTATTGATGGAAAATATTTGTTATATACTTCAGAATATCAGAATACATCTTGCCACAAAAAATGAAGCTAGTTATAATGTAAATCTGCTACTTTGCAAAATTTATTTATTTCTATTTTATTTTATTTATTATTTTAGACAGAGAGCTGCCATCTTCCAGGGCACTCCTCACCTTTCAGGACAATAGCCGGGACTTGGCCAGGCCAAATATGCGAACAGGGAACACAGTCCAGGCTTCCCACACGGGTGGCAGGGACCCTGTCAGTGCAGACCCCAGGAGGCAGCAGTCACAGTTCCAGTGTTGGGCTTCCTGCTACCCATATGGGAGAAATGGATTTGTTCCTGGCTCTTGACTTCAGCCCCAGCCCAGCCCCAGCCAGTGTGGGCATTTGGAGAGTGAAGCAGCAGATGGAGGAGTTTTCCATCTCTGCCTCCCTCCCCCTCTCAAATTAAACAAAAAGAAAATTAACTCAGCTGCAGAGGCAGATTCAGAAGCTGAGATAAGCTAGACCTCTAAGCGAATTCCTATTAGGAGAGACAGGCGAAGTTAAGAAAATGGAAATAACACATGGCACATTGTAGGAATTAGGGCCAATCCAAGTTTGAGGGAGGCTAAAATATATGCAATTTTGGAGAAGGAAAATATAAATTTACCGAAGGTATGAACTTGACAGTTTATTTAGAATAAGAAAAAAGAAGAGGCCTTAGGAGAAACCTGGGCATAAGGGGCACTGACATTTCAGCTTCACAGAAAATCTGCTTCTGGGAGGAATTTGTAAATATTAGTTGGATTAGTTGGATGGACAGATGGGAGTCTAGGACCAGACCAGATCTCGCCCCTACTCTTTTGTCCCACTGACCCCCTACTAATAAGGATCTTAACAGTGATTATAAGTGTAGACTAGGGTTCAGGATGGGGCATGTCCAGCCTGCAGACTGTATAAGGCGCACAAAATCATTTGGTCTGGCCCTGCTAAGGCAACCACGGAGGGTACTCAAAATTCAATAAATCTACAGCAGGCTGAATTTTAATTTGATAATTTTGTGTGGTCCTGGAATGATGCTATAAATTCCCAAATGACCTTTGGCAGAAACAAGATTCCCCACCTCTGGTAATAAAACACAGCTGGCTGTCTTTATGTGCTCACTTTTCCGTGTTGATTACCAGCTATAATCCTATATAGTTCTGTGGGCAAGAACCTTTATGATACCAAGAGGGACTCTCTTCGAGAGGTGACTATCAGACTTTGTTTCTTATAAATTCATCCAAGGCTGGACAGGGTTCTCTTAGATTTGCCAATGCACTAGGGAGAGGCCCAAAGAAGAGATGCTAGTCAAGTTTAACTTTACTGGCTAAAGAGAGAGAGAGAGAGAGAGAGAGAGAGAGCTTCCATCTGATGGTTCACTCCCCAAATAGCTACAATGGCTGGATCTGGTCCAGGTCAAAGCCAGGAGCCTGAAACTTCATCCAGATTTCCCATGTGGGTGGCAGGGGCCCATACACTTGGGCCATCTTCTGCTGCTTTCCCAGGCACATTAGCAGGGAGCTGGATCAGAAGTGGAGTAGACAGGACTTGAACTGGCACTCATATGGGATACCAGTGTCACAGGCAGTGGCTTAACCCGTTGCTCCTCAATGCTGGCCCCTCATTAAAGTTTTCTCATTTATACATTAAAGCTTCATCCCCAACTGACTTGCATAGCTTAGGGTCTCTTCCTATTTTAATTCTGGAGGTTTTTCTGTGAGCCCTTAGGATTTTTTGCAGCCACTGGGGTCTAAACAAAGTCCAAAATGATGACTGGTTCCTGAATTCATATGGAAGCACCTGAATATGGGCCCCAAATTTTCTAGTTTATCCTAAAAACTAGGCATGGTGTAATAATAGGAAAAGTGCATGCTATCCTGCCAGTGGGCCAGCCAGCAAGATTATAGTTGCAAGTCATCTAATCATTTCTCACAAGATTATTCTGTGGCTGAACAATACAGGAGTGAACGTTTGGCCTTCCAGGGCAGGGTCCAGCCACACGCACTACCTGTAGGACAAAAATTCAGGACTTCCATGGAACTGAAGTACTTGGCTGGCACACAGAGTCGAGGGTTTATGACTAAGGGAATGCCATAGGGCTCTACGAGAACAGGGCCTGGCCCTGGAGCAAGTCTCAGGTCTACTTAGGGTAAGTTTCAGTTGCAGGCTCCAATGCAAGAAGGGGCAGAGATTCCTGGGACTTTCTGCCTCTCTCACAGTTGACTCAGAAACCAGAGCTAGTCTATGCTTATGGAAAGAGGTTATCAATATCTTTAGCCATGGACGTGGGTAAGATGAGAACCAACATTAGCCCAAACAGGTTGTGGTCTTTGCTAGAACTCTACTTTGTTTAGCGCAGATGTGGGCTCCACTCAGGGAGAGAGGAGAGAAGGAAGTTATCCTGAGAATGGGGAGGGAGAGTAGAGGCCTGGCTCTGAATGTGTTTCCATGATGAGAAGTGTGTGTGGAAGGGAGAATAGGGGGTTAGGGATAAGAAAGGAGAGGAGGTCAGGCTTCCTATACTCTGTGATTTTATCCCCCTTAACTCTTGAGGAGAAAAACTACTTTAGTTCTGTTCAGCAATATACTTCAAAATAAACTGCACATGTTCAAATTGCCCATATCCTAAAAAAATTAAAAAAGTTAGGTAATGTTGCTTTTTCCTCTCTGCAGGAACTCACTCCTCCTAATGACATCAACGATACAAAAAGTGACATCATATTCTTTCAGAAACATCTCGCAGGACAGAAAGATAAGATGCAGTTTGAGTCTTCATTGTATGACGGATACTTTCTAGCTTGTGGAAAGGAGAAAGATCTTTTCAAACTTGTTTTGAAACGTAAAGATGACAAAAACGATAAATCTGTAATTTTCAGTGTCCAAAACAAGAATTAGACACTAAAATTCCATACCTTGGGCTTTCTGAGATTTTATAACAGTCTATGAGCCTTATCTAGTCGGTTTTGTGTTGCTATAACAAAATACCTGAGGCTGGGGAACTTGTAAAGAAGTATATTTGGGTCATGATTCTGGTGAGTGGAAGGTCCAAACAGCTTCCTGCCAACGGCCCCCACCTGCACCGTGGTGGAGCAATGGAAAGGGAACTGGCTGTGTGCAAAAGGGGCCAAGCACACGGGTGTCCTCACTTAATAACCACCTGCTCTCGCAGAGACTCATCTCTTCTGCGGGTGGTGCCCCCATAATCTAAGTCTCTCTCAGCACAGCCCACCTCTTAGAGTCCCCACCACTTCAGTGCTGTGATGCTGGAGACCAAGCTTCCAGCACATGAAATTCAGGTGACAAACCACAACCACACCATGGCAAGCCTATAGTTTTAGTAGCGAAATAAAATGAATAAAGGCCTCAAAAGCTGTCACGAAGAAATAAATGAGCTTTCATGAAATTGAATTGTACAATAAAATATTTGTATAATGTGAAAAATAAAAGTGTAGCTTGAAAACACATTCTACATTATTACTGGCTCATAGTTTATTCCCAATAAAACTGTTTTGCATCTTGGATTATTAGTCCTAATATGACAAAATCTATCACTTTTTGAATCTTCTAATTTTTAAGAATATCATCAAAACCACTGATATTTTTATAAGGAAACCACTTCACTTGACTAATTTCCGAATTTCTTCCAAGATAAGAATATTTCTGAAAGTCAATTTAATCCTTAATCCAACAACATATTAAAAAGAATTTTATACTCTGACTAGGTGGCATTCATCCAAGGAATGTAAAGATGTTTTAATAGCCTAATACCAATGAACATAATAAATTCTATTAATAGAATAAAGGACACAAACCATATTACTATGAAATTACTAATTTCAGAAAAATCATTTGAAAAACTCAATTCATAATAAAAATTCTCAAGAAACTTAAAAGAACTTCTCAACATGATGAAGGGCATCTATGAAAAACTTATGCCTAGGGGCTGGTGCTATGGCATAACAGGTAAAGCCGCCGCCTACAGCGCCAGCGTCCCATATGGGTGCTGGTTCGAGACCTGGCTGCTCCATTTCCAATCCAGCTCTCTGCTGTGGCCTGTGAAAGCAGTAGAAGATGGCCCAAGTGCCTGGGCCCCTGCACCCATGTTTGAGACCAGGAAGAAGCTCTCGGCTCCTGCCTTCAGATTGGTGCAGCTCCAGCCATGAGGGCCACTTGAGGAGCAGATGGAAGACCTCTCTCTCTCTCTCTCTCTCTCTCTTTCTCAGCCTCTGCCTCTCTGTAATTCTGCCTTTCAAATAAATAAATAAATCTTTTAAAAAAGAAGAAAAACTTACGCCTAGCATCATATTTAAAGTTGAAAAACTGAAAGCTGTCTCCTAAGACCAGGACTAATACAAGCATGTCAGCTCCTGAAACTTCTTTTTTTTTTAAAGATTTATTTATTTATGTGAAAGAGTTACAGAGAGAGGTAGAGACAGAGAGAGGTCTTCTGTCCGTTGGTTCACTCCCCAGATGTCTGCAACTGCCAGAGCTGCGCCGATCCAAAGCCAGGAGCTTCTTCTGAGTCTCCCACATGGGTACAGGGACCCAAGGACCGAGGCCATCCTCTACTGCCTTCCCAGGCCATAGCAGAGAACTGGATCAGAAGAGGAGCTGGGACTAGAACCAGCGCCCACATGGGATGCCAGCGCTCTAGGCCAGGGCGTTAACCCGCTGCGCCACAGTGCTGGCCCCAGCTCCTGAAACTTCTATTCAACATCACACTAAAGGTTCCAGGCAGTACATTAGACAAGAAAAAGAAATGAAAGACATCTAGATCAGGAAAACAAGAAATCTTTATTTGGAGACAACATGGTTCTGTATGTAGAAAACCTTAGAAAATACACACACACACACACACACACACACCTGTTAGAATAACCCAGCACAGCAAGGTTGCGAGATACAAGATCAATATACAAAAAAACGAATTTCTATATATGAGCAATGTACAATATGAAAATAAAATTAAGAAAACAATTCCATTCACAGTTGTATTAAAATAATAAAATACAACAGTTCCCACTTACCTATGGTTTTGCTTTCTGTGGTTTCCTTTAGTCATGATCAACCATGGTCCAAAAATATTAAAAGTAAAATTCTAGAAACAAAAATTCTGAATATCATGAGAAAATCTCTTGCAGTCGTACTCTGTTCCACCTGGAAGTTGAATTATCTCTGTGTCAGCTTGCCCATTGGTCACCTAAAGCTATCTTGGTGATAAGATCAACTGTTACAGTACAATATCCATGTTCAGGTAACCCTTATCTTACTTAGCAAGTCCCTAAAGCACAACAGTAGTGATGCTGGCAATTCAGACATACCAAATAGGAGTCATAAAGTGCCCCCTTTAAGTGCAAAGGTGTGAGTTTATCACAGGTATGTATGTGTAGGAAAAAAATACAGAGCATTTGGGTTCAATGTTACCTGAGATTCTGGGTATCCATCCAGGGAGGTCTTGAATAAGGGGGACTGCTGTACTTACAAATAAATTTATCAAAAGAAGTACAATGCTTTAACACTAAAATGTTCAAAGCTTTGCTGAGGAAAATTAAAGATCTAACTAACCGAAGAGATATTCCATGCTTACTGATAGGAAATCAATATTGTTAAGTTGGCAGTTCTCTCCCAAATGATATTTAGATTCAACTGATGAAATTTGTCAGAATTAAAATGAAATCACTTGTGTCAAACTCAAACAAATAAAGCCACAATGTTATGAAGGAGATCTGATATACATACACCTACAACCATCAAAACGGAAGTTTGCCAGAACCACAGCCTTGCACAAGGGCCACCACAGCCGCACACATAAAATACTTGCGCAAGAGTGTTTTTGAGTAAGTCTTCCGATCAATTGCCTAGACTGCTGCTACCTTGTTATTCATCCTAGTAGTCAAGGATAACTGTTTCAAAGCAGCTCAGATAATTCCCTTTATTTTACCTTCAAAAACGTCACCCTGTCTCACCTCCTGGAATACACACAAGCATTTACCAGGACACACACATTCCCACTGCAATGTTTATTCCCAAATAAACTTATCTAAGGAGAATCTGTTTGTTATTTAGGTTGACAAACTCAAACAAGATTCTAGCAGGCTTTTTACAGAAATTAACAAGCTGCACCTAAAATATATATATAATAGATAAATTTTAAAAATATGGAAATACAAAATCCACTTTCCAGCCCCCCCCCCCAAAAAAAAGTTGGCCGAACAAAGCTGGAGAACTCTCTATTTCTAATTTTTTTAAAAAATTTTATTTAAAGAGTACAAACTTCATGCATTTTATATATACAAATTTAAGAACACAGTGATTCTTCCCACTCTACCCTCCCTCCTGACTACACTCCCACCCTTCTTCCTCCCCCTCTCCTATTCCCATTCTTATTTTTCACAAAAATCTATTTTCCCTATTTTTGATTTTAAAACTTACTCTATAGATAAGTCATCAGGACCATTTGGTACTGACATAGGGATAAACATATTGACCAAGGGAACAAAACTGAGTCAGGAAACAAACCTTACATTTGTGGTCAACAGATTGTTGACAAGGCTAGAAAAAGGAGAGTCTTTCCACTGAGGGTGCTGGCACAACTGGATGGTCACAGGCAACAAAATGCATGTAGAGCCTTACCTCATATCTTATGCAAAAATAAATTTAAAATCGACCAAAGACATTGATGCAAGAATTAAAGCTATAAAACTTTTGTAATAGAGCATAGGAGAATATGTTGAGATCTAGGTTAGACAAAGCTTTTGTTTTGTTTTTAAGATTTATTTATTAAAAGGCAGAGTTTCAGAGAGAGAGGGAGAGACAAAAAGAAAGGTCTTCCACCCACAGGTTTAATCCCCAAATGGCTGCAACAGCTGGGGCTGGGCCGAACTGAATCCAGCAGTCAGGAGCTTCATCCAGACCTCCCACATTCACGCAGGGGCCCAAGCACTTGGGCCATCTCTCTCTCTCTCTCTTTTTTTTAAGGTCATTAACTTTTTTTTTTTTTTTAAGATTTGTTTATTTATTTGGAAGGCAGAGTTACAGAGAGGCACAAACAGAAAGATCTTCCATCCACTGGTTCACTTCCCAAATGGCTGTAACAGCTGGGACTGGGCTGATCCAAAGCCAGGAGCCAGGAGCTTCTTCCAGGTCTCCCACATGGGTGCAGGGTCCCAAGCACTTGGACCAACTTCTGCTGCTTTCCCAGGCACACTAGTAGGGACCTGGACCAGAACTGGAGCAGCCAGGACTCTGGTGCCGATATGAGATGCCAGTGATGCAGGCAGGGGCTTAACACGCTACACTACATGCTGGCCCCAAGGTAGTTTTTTTAGACAAGTCCCAAGAAAAATAATCCATAAAAGAAAAAAAATTAAAAAATTGGACTTAACCTAAATTCCCATTTTGGGAAAGAAAAGTAGGTAAAGGATACATGAGACATCTCTATACCATCTTTGCAGCTTCCTGCAAGTCTTTAATTATTTCAAAATAAAGGTTTTTTTAAAATAATGTTTGGACTTACAGACTCCATTAAGAAAATGAAAAGACAGGGGCTAGTGTCATGCTATAGCAGGTAAAGCCGCCACCTGTGACACTGCTATCCCATATGGGAACCAGTTCATGTCTCAGCTCCTCCATTTCCAATCCAACTCCCTGTTAACAGCCTAGGAAAAGCAGCAGAAGATGGTCCAGGTGTTTGGGACACTGCCACCCATGTGGGAAACCTGAATGAAGATCCGGGTTCTTGGCTTCCACCTGGTTCAGTCATGGCTGCTGCAGCCACCTGGGGAAGATCTCTCCCACCCCACCCCACCCCCATCTCTATACCTCCCTCTGTAATTCTGACTTTCACGTAAGTAAATAAACATTTTTTAAAAAAGAAAATTAAAAGACAAGCCACAGACTTGTAGAAAATGTTTGCAAATCACATCTATGGCAAAAGAACTATTCAAGGCCAGTGCTGCGGCTCAATAGGCTAATCCTCCGCCTGCAGCGCCGGCACCCCGGGTTCTAGTCCTGGTTGGGGCGCCAGATTCTGTCCCGGTTGCCCCTCTTCCAGGCCAGCTCTCTGCTATGGCCAGGGAAGTGCCGTGGAGGATGGCCCAAGTGCTTGGGCCCTGCACCAGCATGGGAGACCAGGAGGAAGCACCTGGCTCCTGGCTTTGGATCAGCGCCGCAGCAGCCATTGGAGGGTGAACCAACGGCAAAGGAAGACCTTTCTCTCTGTCTCTCTCTCTCTCACTGTCTACTCTGCCTGTAAAAAAAAAAAAAAAAAAAAAAAAACCTATTCAAACTCAAGAAGACATTTTAATTTTAAAATAGGCAAAAGATTTTAATTTTTTAAAAAGATTTATTTTATTTATTTGAGAGACAGTTATAGAAAGAGGTAGAGACACACAGAGAGTTCTTGCATCTGCTGGTTCACTCCCCAATTGGCTGCAATGGCCCAAGCTGAGCTGATCCAAAGCCAGGAGCTTCTT